TTATTTTTAAAAGTGGATTAAAAACATATGACTGTTTTTTTAATTATTACGAAAGTTGAATTCGAGAATAGGGTAGAATCCTTCTTGAAGGATTTAATTTTGAAGATTATGGTGAATTTAGATGTTTAGATTTTTGAAGGATTATCATGTTTTCGTGTTTTTAAATATCAAAAGTGTGAAAAGAGGAAGAAAAGAGAAGGAAGGATTATTTTATTTATTTTTAAAAGTGGATTAAAAACATATGACTTTTTTTTTAATTATTACGAAAGTTGAATTCCATTCGAGAATAGGGTAGAATCCTTCTTAAAGGATTTAATTTTTGAAGATTATGGTGAATTTAGATGTTTAGATTTTTGAAGGATTATCATGTTTTCGTGTTTTTAAATATCAAAAGTGTGAAGGATTATTTTATTTATTTTTAAAAGTGGATTAAAAACATATGACTGTTTTTTTAATTATTACGAAAGTTGAATTCCATTCGAGAATAGAGTAGAATCCTTCTTGAAGGATTTAATTTTGAAGATTATGGTGAATTTAGATGTTTAGATTTTTGAAGGATTATCATGTTTTCATAAACCTTTTTTCATAAATCGAATGAGATGTCGAAAGTGTGGAGAAAGAAGGATTATTTTATTTATTTTTAAATGTGGGGTTATTTTATTTATTTTTAAAAACATATAATTTTTTTTTAATTATTAAAGTTGAATTCCATTCGAGAATAGAGTAGAATCCTTTTTGAAGGATTTAATTTTTAAAATTATGAATTTAGAGGTGAATTTAGAGTTTAGATTTTTGAAGGATTATCATGTTTTCATGTTTTCAGATATCGAAAGGAGGAAACGAGAAGGATTATTTTATTTATTTTTAAAAGTGGATTAAAAACATATGACTTTTTTTTTTAATTATTACGAAAGTTGAATTCCATTCGATAACAGAGTAGAATCCTTCTTGAAGTATTTAATTTTGAAGATGGATTATGGTGAATTTAGATGTTTAGATTTTTGAAGGATTATCACATTTTCATGTTTTCAGATATCGAAAGGAAGAAACGAGAAGGATTATTTTATTTATTTTTAAAAGTGGATTAAAAACATACGACTTTTTTCAATTATTACGAAAGTTGAATTCCATTCGATAACAGAGTACGTAGGAATCCTTCTTGAAGATGGATTATGATGAATTTAGATGTTAGATTTTTTTGAAGGATTATCGTGTTTATCATAAATCTTTTTTCATAAATCGAATGAGATATCGAAAATGTGAAAAGAGAAAGAAAGGAGAATAAAGGAGAAGGAAGGATTATAAATATTCGATCGTGGAAGCGATTTTAATTGTTGAAAGTGGTCTCGTATTTTGCATACCATTTCTTGACAACATCTTTCGCGATCTCCATTACAAAGTTCCAACCATTATCACCGGTATTTCCATCCTCCACAAATTTAACATCTAATTAAGAGTCCCTTTGAACGGAACATTTCCCTAACACCTACCCATCCTTTGTCTAAGAAACTTCTCGGGTTACTTTATCGACGAGTCCATTTACAGAGCAAACACGAGACCCATTTTTCGTAACCCCTACCTGTATCCTCAATTACAATTTTAATTAAAAAAATTTCTCTCACTCTTCGCCCTACGTTTCATTAAGAAGAAAAAAAAGGATATATATATAAGGAGGAATTTGTTTTTACAAAAAAAAAACTTATTCCTTTCGAAATAGAAATTTATTAATAATTACTTACCCTTCAAAATATATTTCGATTCGATTGTTCGTACAAAAAGAAAAGAAAGTTTTATTCTTCAAATATTACGAAACTCGGCTCAATTTTCCACGAAAGAAAAAAAAAAAATTCTACACCCAAATTTCCTATTTTTATCGATTCCTTTGAATTATAAAACTCAAAAAACCAACTCAATTTTTTTTCCACAGAAAAAAGAAACCTTCGTTTATATTATTTAAAAATTTTTCAAATATTTCAAAACTTTGCCAAAAACACAATTTTTCACGGAGACATTCTCTATTCGCATTTTTTTTTTTCTTTTTTCCCCTTTCAAAATTGTCAAATATTCCAAACCACCGATTCAATTTTTCA